CCTCATGGGTGGGTGGGCCGGCCCTGATTAGATATTTCAAAAATCTTATCAAAGAAAGATATAAACTCAGAAAATTGTACTGTTCATTGTCATGCCCGCTGTACCTATTCAAGTTGAAATCGCCAATACTCTGGCCATTTTCATTCAACTTCCTTCTATCCGTAATTTGTATATGACTTCTGGGGAGAGGGAGAGAACATTCTAAGGACCATATTTTTGTGATAAAACGACCACATTTTATTACTGTTTTAGTGAGTTCATCTTACCTGAATTATCCTCGGCATAAGATGTAGCGAGGTAGTGATAGATTACCTTAATGAATGTCTGACAAGCAATGAAACAGAGGGGAATATATTTGCTGGGCCAAATCACCTTTTAAAAATCTTCTCATTTTCTTTAGTGTTGCTTATTTTAACTGGTTATTTCAGAACGTTCAGCAAAAAAGCATGCTTTATCACCAAGTGCTTGCTGGGATTAGATTCAATTAGATGCAGAGGGCTCATTAGTGTTCACATAGCACTAATAAACACACAGGTGGGTGAGCTCATACTATTATTATAATTGACCAACACACAATATCATTTATATATGAGTAGAACGTTTATATACATGTCCAGGGAAAAGATTAGGAAAAGCCTTTTTTATCATACCCCAATATTCAAGCAGTGAGAGAAGCCAGGAGTTCCAGTGTTTACCCAGGGTTCAGTTTCCTTGGAATGAAAGTCAATGGAGCTTGTGATGTCTTCAGGATCTATGGCTTTATTTACACATATATACAAGCTGAGCATAGGATGTGAAGGGCATGCAGCATTAATTTACCAATAGATCTTGCTTTCCCATTATGTTTCCTTCCAGCCACAAAAGGGCATGATTTTGGGATTCAGCCCACAGAGAAATGGGACGCGGGTGGTGCTGTGGGTTAAACCACAGAGCCTAGGACTTGCCGATCAGAAGATCGGCGGTTCGAATCCGCGCCACGGGGTGAGCTCCCGTTGCTTGGTCCCAGCTCCTGCCAACCTAGCAGTTTGAAAGCACGTCAAAGTGCAAGTAGATAAATAGGTACTGCTCCGGCGGGAAGGTAAACAGCGTTTCCGTGCGTTGCTCTGGTTCGCCAGAAGCGGCTTAGTCATGCTGGCCACATGACCCAGCAGCTGTACGCCGGCTCCCTCGGCCAATAAAGCGAGATGAGTGCCACAACCCCAGAGTCGGCCACGACTGGACCTAATGGTCAGGGGTCCCTTTACCTGTACCACAGAGAAAGTCAAGCTTCTCTGTGTCTCCAGCTTCCAGCCCAGCAAAAACTTACACACATACAGACCTCGCCTTCCAGCCTATTGTTCTCCTTCCTAGGCTCTCATGGCATCAGCCTGGTATCGTGGAGGAAAGCCTACACCCTCCTCCTGGAAGCTTCTTCAATTGTCACTATGGCAACACATCTTACTCTTTCAGATGCTGATGATGGAAATTGGTTGAGCCAGCTAATGCCATTTGAAACTTGTTTGATCGGTTCAGCAGCTTTTTCTACTAGATCCTAAGCACCAGGGTTACAGAATCACAGGCCTGAAAGGTACCCACAGATATCATCCGGACTGACCCCTTCAAACCTATAATCAGATTAAAGGAACCCCTATCTAATACCCCTATCTTATAGTATTGACTGATATAAATGTCATAATTCATAGATGCTCTCTCTGCCCAAGGATTGGCATATAATATCATTAATCCACATAAATTAGTTAATGAAGCAAATACCTGAACCTCAGTTTAAAGCTAATTTGGAACAACAAACAACTAACAACATAAGAACATAAGCCCACTGCTGAATTAGGTATAAGGTCCACCTAGTTCAGTATCCTGATGGGACTCCACTAAGCACAACAAATACAAAAGCTAGAAATAGTCACTATATATAACCATAGGAATGTGGATTTCACTTAGCGAGATACCTGGTATTGCTGAGAGTTTCACAGAATAAAAAAGTGAACTAATTGCAATTTCTCCCATCATTGTTTTTTCTTGATTAAAATAAACCAACCTACTCATAGTGATATTTCACTCCATATAGTGCAATTAGTGTATTCTGTGCCAAAACGCTCAGTTCTAACCATTGCTGTTCATTTATGGTATGTATACTATTTGGATGTGCCCAATAAACATTCATTGGCTGCTCCCAGGTGAGTATTTATTGAGCGATCATGCATTCAAGTTTCCCACAGTGTCCATATGACATTCTGAGCATAAAAATGTCAACCTCTGTTTTTCCTCATTTCATTCTGATTGACTCTTCCTAAGGAAAGTCCTATGAATTAAAAAAACAAGACAAAAAACAACCCAAACACTTGCTTTCAATGATGCGTTTGCAAAATCTGTCTACCCCTTTTTCAGTATTAAGCTCTTGTCTAGAAGCAACCATTGTTGAGCAAAATCGCAAGTTCTCACAAAGACTCCAGTACAGTCATGGCAATGGCAATGCTTTCCTTTCACACCCGTTGTTATGATTTCTGAGGAATGGTTTTCCACACACACACACACACCGCCGCCAATGTCTGCTCCTCCAGGAGCTGCCTCACACCCCTTATCGTTTGCCTTTGTTCTTTCTGGCACAGATAAGAAAAGTGGGGAAGTGGAGCACACTCCTCTTATCCCAGGGCTTTTTCTGCCAGAGCCGAGTTGAAAGACTTAACAGAGGCACATAAGAGTCATCTGCGCAAGCGACTGCCATTCTTCTTACAAAGCTCCAAGCCCATCATAATAAATGGCTTTCATGCAGTCGTCTGCTGGCTTTTCTATAGGTTCGAGATATAGCAAGCTGTTTTTACAAATAGGAAGAATGGGTCGTGTGAAAAGCTGTCCTGGTGAAATATCAGATTAGGCATTAAGCCCCAGCAGCGTTTTGACTCTCTTCAAAATACAAGGCATTTAATATATATGTTTTTCCATTATAAACGAAGGGGCCTGAACAAAGCAGAATAATGACTTGAAGCCTCTGGACCTTGGTTTCCTCACATTAGCACAAAAAAGGCACCGTACAAACACCTAGGTAGATAATAAGTAGAACAGTCATTCTTTATTCTTGCCCCATTTCCCCAGTTGATTGAATTGATAAAGAGGAATTACTGGCTCAAGCATAATAAATGTAAGGACAATAATTGAATGATAAGAGGCAAACATCTCAATTAACTATTGAGGGCAGTTTTCCAGGTTGCATGAGGTGAGTAGCTTCTCATCCAGCTAGCATTACAGTAAGATGTAATTATTACAAACCGATCAGCTTTGAGCTGGAAATTGCAGGAAGGCATGACCTTAAATTAGTTTATTTATATGCCACTTTCCCCACAGTGCGCTCATGATAAACATCAGCTAATTATAGTTCACAAAACCACCATGACATTTGAACAAACAGTTTGAAAGAAAGCACACTTTCAAATAAGTTTAATCAACCATTCAGATAGCACACAGTCAATATTACCATGACATAATCTGGACTCCGTTTAGATTTAGCTTTTTATTTATTATGTGTTAGCAGGCTAAACCAAAAGCCCACACTGCTAATACGAGTTTTAATGTAGCCTCCCAGAAGCCACAGCAGCCTTAGCTGCCCAGGGACTTAGATGGCTCACAGCTGGCTCCCTGATCTCAGTGGCAGACTTTGGACTCCCAAATTGCAGTGGCACCCTGTGCAACGCTAAAATTCAGCATCCTCCGCCTCTCATGCTCCAGTCTACAGCATTGTTTTGGCGTCTGCTACAGCATGGCGCCCAAAGGAGGCTGGCAGAGGTGGCGTGCATAAATAGAAACAGTTTAACCAGATGTTGAAACTCTAATATTGTTGACACATGTCTTATTGCAGCAGGAAGGTTGTTCTACATAGCAGGTGCTGCTACAGTGAAAGTCCTACTCTGAGTCACCATGAGGTGACACTTGGAAACATGTGGTACCACTAAAAGTTATTCCTCAGGTGGTCGCACTGACTGGACATTTCTGTAATGGACAGGTTGGTTCCTCAAGTAACCTGGTCCCAAGTTTTTTTATATGCTACTAGCAGAATCAGAAACTTTGCTTGCTAGCATATTGGCAGCATAGGAGACAACTCCTACAATAAAATATCTGAGGGGACGGGGCGCCCAGAAAGCTGATGGGCATTTCCATTCAAATGGTGTGCGCACACTGCATCATGTGATCGATTATGTGGGGCGGGGCTTACCTGGGCCCCCACAATATTTGATTCAAGTTGTCACCCCTGATTGGCAGCCAGTGCAAAAATTCAGATAGCACACATTCAGTTCCTTCAGCAGGGGTGTTGACATGCTGACAGTTGGTCACTCTCATCAGCAGTCTGGTCACAGCAGCCTGCAGCAGCTGCAGTTTCGACTCCACCCCCACCCCCTGGGGCAGCCCTTTATAAAGCGTGTTGCAGTAATCCAATATTCAGATTACCATTGCCTGAACCACTGTGGCCAGGCTATCTTTGTGTAGCAACAGTCATAATTGGCATACCAGCCAAAGATGATATAAGGCCATTGAGGCCACTTGGGCCTCCAGTGACAAAGGTCATTCCTGGAGTGCTCCTGGACGATGTACTTGAGCCCTTCTGGGAGAGTGACAAAAACAAACCAGTGCAGCAAATATTGAAATAATGTGAGGGAATAGATTGTTCTTGTCTTTGAGAGCAGATACGATGGGATTGGGCAGACGAGCAGGCAGGGAACAGCAATGCCAGGCTCCTGGTCCAGTTCCATTTGGACTACCCTGTTCCCCACAACCCAAATCAGAGCCAAGTGTCACCAGCCACACTGTGGGAAGGGAAAGAGAAAGAAGGAAGAAAAGGCTACACTAGGTACACCTTGCACCTAGAAGTACTGGCTCTGCCACAGGCCATCTCCCACCAACTACTCTGTGGGAAGGATTAGATGACTTTGTGTCATAGAATCATGGAACTGTAGAGTTGGAAGGGACCATGAGGGTCATCTAGTCCAACCCCCTGCAATGCCAGAATCTTTTTCCCAACATGGGGCTCGAACACACAACCCTGAGATTAAGAGTCTTGTGCTCTACCAACTGAGATAGTGTTTTGATATTGTTTGTTGTGGTTTTATATATATATTTTGACATTGCTTGTGTGAGCTGCCTTGGAAGGATTTGTATCGTGAAATGTGAGATATAAATAATTATAATACATGAATAATTCAAATTGGGGCAGTTTTTTGATTAAAAAAGGGGAAGAAAGAAGCAACTTTGTGGAATTCATCAGGAAATAATAGTACAGACTCTGCTTATTATTACTAGTAATTGATATTCAATGTATGTAATCTCAAACTTATAATCAGCAGATATGTGGGAGGGAGGCTAGGATTTTTGCAGATGGGGATATTAACTCGCTTCCCAAAAACTGTCTAGTAGGCATCAAGGCTTAACTGGAATTTTAATCTAGGGCTCCCAATCTAATGCTTTACGCTTTGGAAAACAAGTGGATGTATTCTGTGGTCTCTCTGTGCGTTTTCAGCTAAAAGACTCCTAGTTTTCTACTGCAGTTAACCTCCAAACCCTGCCTTTTCATACTGTTACTATTCCCCCTTCTCTCCCCCTTGTTATTCTTTCCCATTCTCTTTGCTCCCATTTTTCAATCTTCAGTTCACATTTTCTTTTCCACCCCCCACCCAAAGGACAACTGCAATAAGCTTGGACAGCCCACAACGAGGCTGCTGTGACTGTGCCATCTTTTATCCTTTAGGATATTCATGACTTTATCGTCAAAAGGCTGTTTGTCTCTGGCTGTGGGTAGCGAAAATAATCCAAGCCCTTTGCGAATGTGACTCTTCCCCTCAACCCACATACTTTGGTTTATAGACTATCACTTCTACTTAGCAAGAATCAATCCTGAGGGGTCTTTAACTGGAAGCACTGATACAGGCTGTAAACTTGAAATTTAAATCACGCCTGTCTACCTGTCATAACTAGTTGCGATGAGGCATTGCTTATATCTAGTAATCTTATTGGCTTGCATTCCATTGCATCACAGATCTATTGCAGTGGGGCCAGTGTTGGTTGTTGGTGTTGCCCAGCACCTACAAAGGCCCACGCCCCAGTAGGTGCCCACTGCCATTCACTGGTGCCCACTGGGCCTTTTCTCCTTCTGTTTCCTGTTGCTCCTCTGTTCACCTCTCCCCTCTGAGCAAGTGAGCAGTGAGAGGAATTAAGGGAAGAATCAGCAATGTCCACTGCCGTTGATTCCTCCTCCTGGCCAGATGTGTAGATTAGGCCCAGAGGAAAAGGGCAAGTGAAGGAACAGCAGCGAGGAGAAGGTGTGCCCCGCTGAGGGCATGTTGCCCAAAGGCAAACCTGGAGCTGACACTGTGTTGCGGTCCATCGTGACAGCAAACAAAATGGATGTGACATATTTCTGATGGATGGTTTTATGCTATTGGCAAACATAAATTCAGTGATTGGGCTATGACAGTTTACAACTCGGATGTCTCAGCTGTTTTCCTTTTGGCATTTACTGTTCAAAAACAAAAGGAAGATGTGCCTTTAACTTGACTTTCTTTTCAGTATTGGTCATATGTTCTGTGTTTTAATGATGTCATTGTAGACTACCATGATATTTTTTCCTAATTTGCTGGCTTATAAATATGCCTATAAAAATAAATGATAAATAAATATGATCTTACATTCTGTAGGTTTCTGAGTTAAGAAACCAGAAGATTTCGTGTTTATTTATTTTTACTTATTTGCTGCCTGAGTGTTAAAAACAACAACAGCATTTAAGTGGTTTACAATAAAATGGACTATTAAAAACAGTTAAAATAGGAAAACAGTTAAAAACGTGTTTAGAAACTTCCATTTTCTCATCCTGGCTGCATAGAAGAGAGAGATTTTAAGCATTCTGCCCATTTGTTGTGTGTGGACAAGACCTGCGAAGTGATGCTTTTGGAGGAGATGATCAGGTTTACTCCGTAAATAGAGGCAGCACACAGCAGTGCTGACAGAAGATAATGGTTGTGCTCATCCCAGTATCAGTGTAATGACATTAAGGGGGGAGGGGATTAGAATGTTGATAACCAACCCTCTTCCAACTTTAATTTTATTATTGCAATTGGCTAAAGAAATTAGAGCCAAATCTGTCTTCCTCCCCCCCCCCTTCTCTATAGCACTGTACTCTGTTCATTTTTGTAAACTGACGCCACTCCATCTGGGATCACACAGATTTTAAATTCCCTGACCTATTAAAAAAATCCTCTGGTTTTTTTTCACACTCGCAGATGATTTTTCCTCACCACTGCTATTTTTAAACTGTGGAAATCATCCCAAGATGGTTCTGAGAAATACAAGTTCCCAGTGGAACACATTTCACGGTTCTGGAAAGCTTTCATTTCCAAGTTCTGCTGGTCTTCCTTCCTTCCTTCCTTCCTTCCTTCCTTCCTTCCTTCCTTCCTGTTGTTGATGTGGAGGTGGGGTCCAATAAGGGAGAGACTAGAGGAAGGAGAAGGAGAAGGAGAAAAAGAAGAGGAGGAGGAAGAAGAGGAAGAAGAAGAAGAAGAAGAAGAAATAATGGAAAATATTGATAAATTTTGGCCGTTTGATTAGAATTTGCCTCAGACAGTAAAGCACTGTGAGATCAAGGAAGAGATAATTTGAGGTGGCAGAACGGCCAAATTCAGAGCCATTTTTGAGCTCATTCTGGTAGGGCGGAAGGTGGGGCTGGTGTTTTTCGTTCCTCCTCCTTTCCACAGCCTTAGAAAAGGTTTTGACTCACGTTTGTGCTATTAGTCTCAATGGCAGGGAAAATAAGTATCCCAGTGCCTGGGCTAGCATCCTTCTCCTCTGCCCCCTGTTCTGCTGGGCATGTCAGGCCTGACAGCCCTAATCTGGCCCACATACCAAAGGTTCCTCACCATTGAACTTGAGGGCTTATATCATGCCAGACTCCATCAAAACATATATCCTTGATATGGGGGAGCTAGCAGTCTGCATCTGTGCTACTTGAAATGGATGGTATGTTTTGTGGGAGTTGAGGGTGCTGACATTAGAATAAACTATTCTGAGACAAAATATGTTCTTGTTCAGTCTATGCCACAGATACAACTTAAAATTCTTGTTTTATTATGGAATAGTCCAGTGGATTTAGTTGTGGGAATCTGTGCAGAATGTCATACATTATCTAGGAATGTTTCAGAAGGCTGGTATAATGAATGACCTTGCCAACCTAAAGAAGTAGCTGTTATCAACTGAGGTGACATCAAGAACAATTGCTAGGGAAACTAACTGGTCTTGAAAAAATGGAGAGAGGGAGGGAGAGAAGCAGGAGGAAAAATGCAGGAGTATGAAGTCTCAAGTGCACAATAATACAGATATAAAGAAAAGGGCAGGCTCCACCCAGACAAATGAATTATGCTACTTTTTGTCACTTGTAAATTCCCATGCCTCCCTTGTCAAGAAATGCCCTGTTCATAAACTGATTAAATAAGATCTCTCAGCAATGGAGATTTAATGTCTGGATTGTATCTCATAATATTTTTGACAGCTCCATGGAGTTGTTTCCAAGAGCTCCTCTCTCTTGGGCCTATTCTTCTGTCGATAAACTTCCTATCTTTGTAATATATATATATATATATATATATATATATATATATATATATATATAACACAAAGATAGGAAGTGGCTTTTCCTCTCTTCACAGTGGCAAAGTCATGTTCCTGTAGACTTCCTTGTCAATTATTTGCCTTGCTTTTTATTCTCAGATTGGAGACATGAATAACTTTACATTTTACGTGAATGTGCATTTATAAATGCTATGTTAGATTCATCTGAAATGTACAATGCCAATAACTTTTGTTCTTTCTTCATTGCCATTTGGATTAGGTGAAGCATCATGAAACGAGGCTATTTTCTCCAGCAGATGAGAAATGGCAGAATGAGCTGTTTAGTCTTCTTACTTTACGTTACTCACCATTAGGGATGGGCACATCTGTCAGTTTCCGTTTCTCATTTTTCCAATCTTAAATTCAGGTTTCCGCATGCCATGCAAACTCATCAGCATTTCTTCTAATATACACATTTTTGTAGGCAATCTTGCCTAATATATACATTTTTTTGGCAAGGCAATCTTCCCCAATACAATGCACTAATATATGCCTTTAGATGCACAGTATCCCCTCATATATGTAATTTTGCACATATTACTTGTATGGAAGGCTGCACTGCAAAATTAAGAGATGTATGGGTTTTGAAGGATGGTTTCAGAAAGTGCGAATTTGATGAGTTCACTCTTAGATGCAAGCTCAGTCCAATTTGTCCCCCATGCCTAATCATCACAGAGCTACGTTTGACCTCATGGTGCAGAGGGTGTTACTCTATTTAGCTCAGTATTCTCTACACAGACAGGCAGTAATTATCCAGATTTAAATGTGTCTTTCCCTACTCGAAAATGACTGGATTGAACAGTCTGTGCTTGGGAAATCTTTGGGAAATGTCACAAAACACTTTTTCATGGGGCTGGCTTTTGAGGGCTGGGCTGAAACTTCCTGTATTTAAATCTTTTTCTGAGTCTCAATACAGAAAATGCCAGCAGAGGGCTTCTAATTGTTGGTTGTTGCTTGAAAACCATCCTGTGATCATGAATCCCGATGCAATAGCTCAGTGGTAGAGCACATGCTTTGAACGCAAAAACTTCCATTCCAATCCCCAACATCTTCAGGTAGGACTGGGAAAGATTCCTGCCTGAAACCCTTCCAGTCAGTGTAGAGTAGATAATACCAAGTTAGATTGAGCAACAACCTGACTCTCAACGAGGCAGGTCCCTATGTTCCTATGATAAGACAGGGAGGTGCGCTTCTCTCCATTGATTTAGCCTCTCATGTTCAGGTGGAGTTTATCTGAGCTATGATGGGTGTGTGTGCAGGAAACAGGACCATGAAAGCATGAAAATATTCGGGAAATGCAAGGAGGAAGAGGGTAAACCTGAAATGAGGCTCCAATGATAGGTATGCTGAAGAATGGGTGGAACAACTCTGGAGAATTTCTTGCAGTGAAGAGCCCCTGTACTCTTGTGTTTGTGTGTGATTTCTTAATGTTTTT